GTAGGCCTTGAAGGATCAAACTGATTTGCCAGAAAATTAACTGGCTGCTATAAAAAAATCAATATTCTTGAAAGTAAGATAACAAAATCCAAATTTTCAACAACATAGCATCCATGATGTACAGTATACAATAAAAAATGACTAGGCATTCAAAAAAGCTGGAAAATGTGATCCATAAGCAGGAAAAAAAGCAATCAATAGAAATAGAACTTGAGATTACCCAGATACCGGAATTAGAAGGTAGTATAAATATGTTTATTAACTACATCCTAAACTAATGATGTAATGTATGGTGATTAACATAACAATAAAATTTTAAAAATGTTTATTAACTTAATGGAAAATATGGTCATTTTTTTTTTTAAAGATTCTATCCATTTATTTGAGAGAGAGAGAATGAGAGACAGAGAGCACGAGAGGGAAGAGGGTCAGAGGGAGAAGCAGACTCCCTGCTGAACAGGGAGCCCGATGTGGGACTCGATCCCAGGACTCCGGGATCATGACCTGAGCCGAAGGCAGTCGCTCAACCATCTGAGCCACCCAGGAAAATATGGTCATAATGAATAAATGGACAATGATGAGAGACAAACTCTCTAGAGGCCTGATACACAAAGGAAGCCATTTAAGATTTCTTTCTAAGTCAGCATGACTATATATAAACTTTGTTCAAACCAAAAGTCTGATTTATGGTCAGCCACGTTTGCATTGTACATCTGCTTTGTGAATGAGTAGCCTAAAGAAGAACCATCTTCTCCTTGAGATATTTATTGATCAATGCTCCTAATCCCTGTATTCCTTGACATTAAAATTTGTGATTCCTGCCTATATGCTAATTATAATCTTTTGAGCTTTTACAAGATGTAAAAAACTATATATTCCTGTAAAAACTGTTCTTTCTCTGGAGGACTTTCTTTCCTGTGAAGAGCATGTTTCCTGGGCAGCTGTCCTAACTTGGGCTCAAAAAAACTCTCTTTCTTAGAGATTCTAAAAGGTTTGTTCATTTTGCATCAACAATAGGAACCTCCGCAGAAAAACAGAATGTATAAAATAGAACTGAAAATGGAAGCTTTATGGAGCACCTGAGTGGCTCAGTCGGTTAAGCGGCTGGTTCTTTGTTTCAGCTCAGGTCATGATCTCAGGGTCCTGGGATAATGCCCTGTGTGGGCTCCCCACTCAGTGGGGAGTCTGCTTATCCATCTCCCTCTCCCCCTCCTCCCACTTACGCGCTCTCTCTCTTAAATAAATAAATAAATCTTAAAAGAAAATGGAAGTTTTCCAACTGAAAAAACTGAGATGAAAATTTCAGTGAATGTGCTTAAGAACAGATGGGAGGCATTGGAAGAAACAGTCAGTAATCACCATGATAGATCAATAATGATCCAAACTGAAGTACAAAAAGGAAAAAAATTGAAAAAACTAAACAGAGGTACTTATGGAACAAGACTTATAAGTAAAGTTCTAGAATGAGAGGATTAACAGAATGTGGTAGGACAATAACTATGACCAAAACTACCAAAATTCAACAAATAGAAAATCTTACAATCAGAGAAAAACAATACATAAAATATTGGGGAACAAAAATATGAATAATGCTGACTTAATTAGAAATAGTAGTAGCCAAAAGACCATGGAATAACATCTTTAAAGAGCTAAGGAGGGCGCCTGGGTGGCTCAGTCGTTAAGCATCTGCCCTTCGGCTCAGGTCATGATGGGATCGAGTCCCACATCGGGCTCCTTCCTCAGCGGGAAGCCTGCTTCTTCCTCTCCCACGCCCCCTGCTTGTGTTCCCTCTCTCGTTAGGTCTCTCTCTGTCAAATAAGTTAAAAATCTTTAAAAAAAAAAAAAAAAAGAGCTAAGGAAAAGTATGTCAACTTAGAATTCTATTTCCAGAGAAAATATGCTTTTAAAATGAAGATGAAATAAAGATATAGTCAGATAATTTAAATTTAGATTATAACTAGCAGAACTGCAGTTTAGGAAATAGTAAAGGAAATTCTTCAGGTTGAAGAGAATTGACTTTAGATGAAAATACAGTGCCAACAGGAAGGAAGGAAGAACATCAGTTATGGTCAATATAAAATAAATATATAAAGTATGTTTTCTTCTTTAAATGTTATTAATATATATGACTGTTTAAAGCAAAATAATGCAACACTGTGTTATGGGGTTTATAATGTATGTAGCTGGAAAAATCATGACAACAGTAGAACAAAGAATAAGAAAGTGTAAATGAAATGATAATGTTTACAAGGTTCTCATATTTTACCTGGAGTAGTACAATATTAATTCTAAGTAAACTGTTTAATAAGGATGCATATTTTAATCCCTACACCAACCTCTAACAAGATGCAGGAAGGTATAGCGTCCCTTCCTGGGGGCACCTGAGTGGCTCAGTCGTTAAGTGTCTGCCTTCGGCTCAGGTCATGATCCCAGGGTCCTGGGATCCAGCCCCGCATCGGACTCCCTGCTCCGCGGGAAGCCTGCTTCTCCCTCTCCCACTCCCTCTGCTTGTGTTTCCTCTTTCGCTGTGTCTCTCTCTGTCAAATAAATAAATAAAATCTTAAAAAAAATAAAAAATAAAATTAATGAAATTAAAAAAAAAAAGATGCAGGAAGGTATAGTAAAGAGCCAACAGAAAAATTCAAATATATCAGAAAAGATTGATCAATTCTCCAAAAAAAAGACAGGATAGTTAATTAAAAATGTGGCAAATAGAAATCAACCAAATAGTAAATACAAATCCAACCAAAGTATTAATTACATAAATATAAATGGACTAAGTATTTCAATGAAAAGCCAGAGACTGTCACACTGGATAAAAAATGTGAAACCCAAATTACATGAAATCGGGGTGCCTGGGTGGCTCAGTCGTTAAGCATCTGCCTTTGGCTCTGGTCATGATCCCAGGGGAGCCCCGCATCGCATCGGGCTCCCTGCTCAGCGGGAGGCCTGTTTCTCCCTCTCCCACTCCCCTTGCTTGTGTTCCCTCTCCCGCTACTTCTCTCTGTCAAATAAATAAATAAATAATCTTTTAAAAAAAATTACATGAGATCTACCAGAAACGTATTTTAAATATAAAATCACGGGGCACCTGGGTGGCTCAGTCGTTAAGTGTCTGCCTTCGGCTCAGGTCATGATCCCAGGGTCCTGGGATCAAGCCCCGCATCGGGCTCCCTGCTCCGCGGGAAGCCTGCTTCTCCCTCTCCCACTCCCCCTGCTTGTGTTCCCTCTCTCGCTGTCTCTCTCTGTCAGTTAAATAAATAAATAAAATCTTTAAAAAAAAAATATATAAAATCACAGGTAGATTCAAGGGGAAAAAAATGGAAAAAGATATACCAGCCAAGCAGTAAGCATAAGAAAACTAGGCTGACTATACAAATACTAGACAAAATAGACATTAAGACGAGACATAGAAAAACGTTTCATAATAGAAGGGTCAATTCACTGGGAAGACACAATCATAAATGTGAATATACTATATAATTGAGCCTCAAAATACATGAAGCCAAAACTGAACCAACTCAAGGGAGAAATAGACAAATCCAGAATTGTAGTTTTCATGTATCTCCTACTTCATATATATTCTTTTTGCAAAATAAGATTGGCCTCAACATTTTTTATGATTTCTAAAGTTTTGTATTCTTTTTTTAAGTTTTATATTCTTGAGAGAAGAACAACTTCTTCTATCAATTAACTGTTGTATCAAAACATTTGAGATGGGGAGGATGCTGCAGTGGTGGATAAATCCTGGCGGGCTTATCCTATTCCTTTCCTAATGAACCCAGGACATGACAAATTCAATGATTACTCCCTTGAGAAAGACTTCGGAAGATATCTTCCTAATGTTCACTTTTCAAACCTCTTCATCAGGAAGACAAAAACATAAGTACTTAACAGAGCTTGAAAATACTTGAAGCAAAACCTGATGGAACTAAAGGGAAAACAGAAATAGACACACTTCTCTCATACCTCTAATTACTAGATTTAAAAAAATCAGTAAGGATAAAGGACATCTGAATGACAATTCATTAGTCGCCCCTTATCCTCAGAGGACACATTTCAAGACCCTCAGGGGATGCCTGGAAGGGTAGATGAACCCCCTATTGTTTTTCTTTCCATACATACATGCCTATAATAAAATTTAATTTATAAATTAGGCACAGTAAGAGGTTAACAGAAATAATAATGAAATAGAACAATTATAACAATATGCTGTATAACAAAAGTTATGTGAATGTGTTCTCTTTCTCAAAATATCTTACTTATTGGGCCGTACTCACCCTTCTTCTGTGACGTGAGATGATAAAATGCCTAATAATGCAAGGAAGTGAGGTGACTGATGTACACATTTGTAACACAGCATTAGGCTACTATTAACCTTCTCACCAAACGAGGAGGGGATGGCAGTTGAGGGCTGGTAACTAAAACTGAGGAAAGAGAAATGGCTGATAACGGGGTGGCGGGGCAAATTTATCTATCACCTTAACGTAACAGAATTTACAGAACAATTTGTTCAGAACTGCAAGAAGGAGGAAAAAAAAAACGAGAAGAGTAAGGAAGGGAAGGAGGGAGAGCGAGGAAGCGCGAGCGACCTTTCTGTGTCGTCCGCTCCCCGTTCTACTAAGGTGTGGGTATATTTTTATTAAGTACTTGATGTATATCCACATCCTACTTGGGCATATATACTGAGCACCTGCTGTGTGCCTAGTACGTATATTATGTGTTTGCTGGAGTCAAGACTTCTTTCTAAGACCTACCAGGGATTCTTCAGGAACAAACACGACGCCAAGCTGCCGGAACGCGTTTCCTTCTGCCCGGCGCAGCCTTGAAGCCCCTCCCCTGGTAGCCCACCCTTAAGCCCCAAGGACCTCCCAGAGAGCTCCTCAGCGCCAGAGAGCACCCACGCTTGCGCACTCCGCGCAGGAATTTGGGGGAGGGGCCGGGCCCTCCCTACCGAAGACTACATTTCCCACAGGCCTCTGCTCCTAGTTTCCTTCCGGCTTTCTTGCTGGTGTCGGCCCGGAGAGGTGAGTTGGTCGCGTGTATTGAGGAAATGGGCGCGGGGGTGGCGCGGGGGCGGCGCGGGCCTCTGTGTGAACCGGGTTGCACTGACTGTGGAATTTGTGACGCTGACTGGGCATCGGGTGCCCTGAGGCGTCCTTTCCTTTTCCGCTTAAGGGCTGCACATATCCCTCGGCCCAGAATGGCTCCGAGTTAGATGTATGAACCCCAGAGTGAAGGCCCCCAACAAAAACGCAGTCCTGAGAACTGCAGCTCTCAGAACCACAGCTTAATCAGAGCTCCCTCGTAAGGAAACTACCATGACTTCGGAGACAGATTCCAGACTTGGCCTTTGTAGTCGGCCTTTCTCTGATACCGGGAAGGCTGAGCTTTACCCCGGACTCCCTCTTAGTTCCATCGGGTTATGTGCGTGGTGGATGGTGGGAGCAAGTGTGATAGCGGGGGTGTGTTCTGAGTTAGCTAGGCGGGGCTGAGTGCCAAGAAAGGCTCAGTGCCTAGAGATTCCCGTCTCTTTTCCCCAATCCTGCTGATCTTTAGGAAGGAGAAAGGGGGAGATAAGCATTTGTATGTCTATATCTTCTTTGTTCCGCGAAATGTAACTTTTATTTTTCTGGACATGGAAACATTTGCATCTCCTGGAAAAGAATGGTGAAAATCAGTGCGAACTGAGGAGAAAAAAGCCCTTGCTTTAATCACGCTGGGAGAGAAGAGACAGAGAAAGCCAGCTGCAAAATTTATAGAAAGTATTATTTCATGCAATTGTGAAATGCTCTAACAACTCCCTCTTCGAAAGATTACAGCTGTTTTACCAGTGATGCTCCAGACTCGCTTTGCCATTTTTTATTTTATTGCTGGAGATACCCAATTGCTAAACTACCCTCCCTTCAAGATAACCCTTAACCTCCAGTTAATCCCTGCCCTTCCTAGTCTCATCTCAGAAACCGCAACCATTCCGGAATTGTTCCCTGCTTCCCATACATGCTTCAGAATCCTTCAGTTGGAACTCAGCCCTTTACAAAAGAGCCTTTCTTCTCTTCCATTGCATTCCAACCCTTCCTGTGGAATTTCGTCCTTCTGTTGAGTCAATAAATGTGATTTTGTTGGACTATACAGGCTTGTTCCAGGTAGTCTTTGGCTGGTTAGGCTTTAACTCGGAAATACCCTGTCCGTAGACCTGGTGCTTTGCTCTTCTTTCCCAGTGAATGATACGTGTGATGAGGTTACTTCCTGCCTCCTCTCCAGTGGGTATTCACATGAACATTTGGCAATCATTTAATTCCTTCTGTGAGCTGTTTCTTTCTAATCATTTAAATGGTTTGCAAGTAAACCTCCTGAAGGGGGGAGGCCAACTGCAGAGCTTTATTTTAGGCTTTGATTTGTTGAGAGGATTACAGTTTAGTTGGAATCATATGGTAGGTGTCTTTGATCTTCACCACTGCCCTGAATTCAGAAGCCGGCAAATGTAGGAGATAGTTTGGTGACAGGGTTTTCTGCTTTCGAGGCTTTTAAGGAGTTGAAATGTAACAGGGTTTTTAATGGGGAGGCCTGTGTTAACAAGGGAAGGGAATGGAAGATGTTAGTAGAAATTTGAGAAATGGTTTGAAGTTTTTGACAGCATGAGTGGTCAGGCCATATTATTTATGTGTTCTTATGAGAGGCAGTTTAGTTATGGAGCTAAATTACCAGTGTTCTGGTCCTAAAACTACCCCATTAGAGCTGGGTGAAATTGGGGTAATTTATTTCATCTCTCTGCCATAGTTCCTTCATCTGTGAGAGGATAATGATAGAAACTGCTGTATAGGATTGCTATGAATAGATGAATTAATATATATAAAGCCCTCAGATAATGCTTGACACATAATAAGTGCTCAGTAGATTTAATTGTTACTATTATGTTGTAATTCATCTTTTTTCTCATCACCCGGATCCAAAAATTGTGAGGATTTCCCCACATTGGCTTCATCCATCCACGAACCCCCTTTTGTAAATTGTTGTTAATCAGGAGGAATTGCTTATCAATGTGAAGGTTGAAATTTATTAGCTAGTGTTATAAGAGAGCAAGGCTGAGAAGCTCAAATTTTTATGGAAGAAGAAAAGAGCAGAAGAGAATTTTCTTTAATAATTCTGGGAAAAAGTATGTAGTATTCTTCATCTTCAGTGATATAACTGACTTTTATTTAATGTTTATTTGCTACTCGAAGTGCTTTATTACATGTGACGTCTTATTTAATCTTCATAACAACCTTTTGAGATAGAATCTATGATTATCACCTTTTTTTATGGGAGGTGACTAAGGCTGAAAAGTAACATGTCCAAGATCACAGTTAATAACTAGCAGAGCAGAGATCTGTATTCTGAAAGTGTCACACCAGAGCCTGTATTAGTAATTACAACAGTATACCAAGTCTCATCATTGTATATGCCTAAAAAAAAAATTCTTCCTGCCTTATTCAGTAACCTATCATGATGAAAGGAAGAGATACTAATCTTATGATACCAGGCACTATCAAGTTATGTCCAGCTTATACTGAAGCTATGGGGTCTGGAGGTAATGGATCTCATACAGTAAGATTTATGTCTCACAGGTTTTTGTGTGGGTGTGTTTTTTTTAATTTTATTTTAATTCCAGTATCGTTAACGATGTCTCACAATTTTTATTTTAATGATGTTTTATGCAAAGTCAGATTAGTAGGACAAGGAGATCCAGTAGCCTTTGGAGGCTTCATAACGCATCTTAGCCCAAAACATCGGCTCAGAAATAAAATAAACTTATTCTCAGGGAAAATGTGAAAGGAAGCAGCCGTGAGACTGCTGTCGTTACTTAAGAGGCCTCAGTCAGGGATTTTTTTACCATTCATTTCTAGACACTACTCCAACATACATGGACAAATTCAATCATAGACTTGGTTCATGAATTAGAAGATGAAGTAAAGAAAAAAGAAAAAAAAAAGTCACTTGGGGCACCTGGGTGGCTCAGTCAGTTAAGCGTCTGCCTTCGGCTCAGGTCATGATCCCAGGGTCCTGGGATCGAGCCCCGCATCGGGCTCCCTGCTCCGCGGGAAGCTTACTTCTCCCTCTCCCACTCCCCCTGCTTGTGTTCCTGCTCTCGCTGTGTCTCACTCTGTCAAATAAATAAATAAAATCTTAAAAAAAAAAAGAAAGAAAGAAAGAGAAAAGTCACTCAGGAGAAAAGAACAGTTCTTAGAGTATCCTGGGCTTTTTTCTCAGTTCAACAGAAAAATTAAAGAAAACCTTGAAATGGGGAAATTTTTGCCTTATTTGGCATAGTTGTGCATGTTAGGTTCACACTGTGTTTAATATGGTGGTGAGTGTTGCTGGCTGTTCCTGTAAACATTTTAACAGGTCCTTCTAGGCATATATGTGATTTTTTTTCTGTCACAAGAATTTAGTGCCACACATGTTGGGATTGATTGATTGATTTAATTTTTTTAAGTAGGCTACACACCTAGTGTGGAGCCCAACTAGGGGTTCAAACTCACGACCCTGAGATCAGGACCTGAGCTGAGATCAAGAGTCCGACGCTAACCAACTAAGCCACCCAGGTGCCCCATGGGATTTTTTTTTTAAACACACTGGCTTCACCCATTTCATCAAAATTAGGGCAACATCATCACTTTTTAATATGTGCCTGGTTTTCAGTGATATAGATGCACTACTATTTAATCATTTCCCCAGTTAGATTCTTTTCAGCTTTTATTCATTGTAAACCATACCTGTCAGCATACCTCTGCCAATATCTTTATATACATGTGCAAATAGTTTCTTTAGTCTTAGAAGTGGAGATCTCGGGGCGCCTGGGTGGCTCAGTCGTTAGGCGTCTGCCTTCGGCTCAGGTCATGATCCCAGGGTCCTGGGATCGAGCCCCTCATCGGGATCCCTGCTCAGTGGGAAGCCTGCTTCTCCTTCTCCCACTCCCCTGCTTGTGTTCCCTCTCTCGCTGTGTCTCTCCCTGTAAAATAAATAAAATCTTAAAAAAAAAAAAAAGAAGTGGAGTTCCAGGAACTGGTTCATAGGGTTTACAGGGTTATAACGTTTAAATGCTGCTTCACATAGTTCTAAATTTGGTCCAACACAGTGCCCGTTTCCTTGTGACCTTGCTAATCTGGGACATCATCAGTCTTTTAGACCTCCCAGTCCTGTCACTGTAAGAGTATAATTTTTGTGTGTGTTTCACACACATCTCGTTAATTAGTAGTGATGCTTAGTATCTTTTGAAAGGTTATTTCAATTTTTTTTTTTTTAGTGAATTGCCCTTGCTCAGGTTCCTCTCAGTGCAGTAGAAATCTAGTCTTCAGAGGCAAAAACCAAAGTTGAAAGATGACTTTTTAGTTAGAGAAATGTGAACTCGGAACAAAGCTTTGCCGCTTAATCACTGTGAGTTTGGGCAAATGATTTCACCCCTGAGCATTGGTTTCCTGATCCACCGAGAGATGAGAAGAAATACATAGCAGAGCAGCGCTGAGGGTCATGGGGTGATGTACCTAAAGCACCCATCACATAACAGTTCTCCATGAATGTTGTTGACTAAGTGCAGTGGTCATGGTATGAGAGGGGGTGGTGCAAAGGATGTCATGGTGTGAGAGGTCCTGATTGGGAAACAGGGTAGTGAATTGTTTGGGCTGGGGAAAGGCCCGTGGCAGCAGCTGCCAGGCTCAGTCTGTGTGGTTTTCAGGCTTCCTAAATACGATTAGGAAGTTCAGGCAGGATCCTCGGAGCTCAAGAGGCTGTATGTGGGTGGTATGGCCCTTTCTCAGCCGTGAAAAGTACTGGAGGGAGGAGGAGAAGCAGGCTTCCCACTGGTCCCAACGTCAGGACCAGATCTACATTGCCAGATGGGGAGTCCTCCTCCGAAGTATTCAGGCTTCTATACCAAACCCATCATTGTTCAGCTGGATCTTCTCAGGTTGTTGTGAGTATGGGTCAGGGTGGCTATAGTGGTGGAAAATAGTTAGGAAGTAGGAAGGGAAAAGAAAAAAACTCATTTACATAAGTCATTTTGGGATCTCCGAGTTACATTTGATTTCATGGCCTCTTTTTTTTCTTCCAGATCTGGCTTATCAGGGCTCTGCAGTTCTCCAAAAGAGAAATCTTGAAAAGGACTGACCAGTTCTTGTATTTCGAAACCATGGCCCATGTAAGTTGATGTTCTTTTCTCCTTTTTGAAATATTGTTGATCTCTAGGTCATGTGTACATACTCAGTCCTTATCCTGAAACTTCTTATTTAACAGAACTCTGCCCAAGAACTTGCTTTAGTTACTTTCAGTCTTGTGAAGGTTGGGGACAAATAGCCCAGTGTCCTTTCTACGTGCCCTTCCCTCTTCTCCACTAATGTGGACCATCTCTTAGCTCCAAAATCTTCTGTCAAGAGCCATGAGGGAGCAAAAGTGAAATGCCTTGAGAAAAATGTAGGCATTCTCTGTAGAATGTCCCCTTGTTAACATTTTCCAATAGAACAGCTTTTGATTTTAAGATTTAAACTTCAGAGAAAGTATATTTCTCTGAATACAGTGATTTTTAGTCTGGTTTTTATGTAGGAAAAATTTGTGTCCCCAGTACACAATTTGACATCTTTTCAAAGTTCTTGAGCTTTTTATTGACATGTAACATGCATAGAGAAAAGTGCACAAGTCCTAAGTGTGTAGCTGAATGAATTTTCATAAATTGAGCATATCTGTGCCATCAGCACTGAGGTCAAGAAAGAGAATATTGCTAGTACCTCAGATGCCCCCCTTTCAGTCACTCCCTGCCCACCCAGCCCAGATATAACCACTATCCTGACTTTTTTTTTTTTAAGATTTTATTTTATTTATTAGAGAGAGAGAGAGCTCATGAGTAGGGGGAAGGAAAGGAGGGAGAAGCAGACTCCTCGCTGAGCAGGGAAGCCCAATGCAGGGCTCGATCCCACAGGACCCCAGGATCATGGCCTGAGTCGAAAGTAGCTGCTTAACTGACTAAGCCACCCAGGCGCCCCCACTATCCTGACTTCTGACGTTATAAATGAATTTGGCCTATTTTTAGAACTTTATATAAGTGAAATTGTACAGTTCAGTACAACCTTTTTTAACAAAAAATAATGTGCAAGAGATTCTTGTTATATTTCACATATAATTGCTAGACTATCAGAACCATCTACAGATGTTTTGAGATGCATGCAAGTATCATTAAAGAGATGTGTGTATCTGGTGCTGCTGGTGAGAATGGAGGTATCAGAGCATCATACTGCGTGTGAGTCATAACTGAGTGTTAGGTTCTTGTTGAAGTGCATTTTCACAGTGTACTTAACATGTAGTTCTTGTGTAGTATAGAATGAGTTTCCAAAAAGTTGGGGAAGTATTGAAGAAATTGTGGGGAAAGACACAAAGCAAGTGAGAAAAGTGAATTCAGTAAAAGAGACAATGAAAATACTAAAGCTAAAGATACGTGTGCAATAACTAACCCATGTAATTCTATACTGGAGGGAGCTGTGAGGCTATTTGGAAGCTTGGAATTGATGTATAATGCAGTGGAGTTCTTTGCTTTAAAATGATGGGAAAATAGGTACCTGTTTAATAATGTAGTGTTAGAATGTCTGATACTCAGGAATGGGTTATTGATATTAAGTGGGAGATCCTTGTTTTGAAAACTTTCCTTGAAGATTTGTGGTTTGATGAAGGAGAGAATTTGGTCCTGTTTGACTGCCTAGAGGGAAAACTCCAGACTTCTTCACAGACGTGTTTTCCAAGTACATAAGATGAGATTTAGTGTTGGCTGCTGCCAGTCTCTGTATGTGTTGATATCTTACGGTATGTATGTAAGGCTTTTAGGATAGGGTGGATTCGTTAGGGATGTAATTGGGGCCTTAAATTGTAAGGCCTAAAATTTCATATGCTGACTTGATATCTTAACAGGGCTCCAAAGGCCTAATCATGAGTTTCCCTGCTTTTGCCAAATAAGTTCTCCATCCAGCAGAAAAGACTCCCACCTGGCTAGCTTTCCTATCAGGCAGATGACCTAAACCCCTCCTGGTCCTCACTCTAAAGGGTTCTACCTCGCTGCTGGCCCACAGAATTACTCAAACCAGTCACATCCTCCTGCGGGAATCAGGGACACCTTACCCTCTTTTTACTACAAAGCCTGCCTCCCACAGACCCTGCTTGTTCACTCCATTCCTGAGTGCAACCTCTGTGTGGCCCTGCATGACGTGTGGTGTTCTCCTCCCCTGGGCTGTGAGTATACATGTCTAATAAATGCTGTCAATCTCATCTGTCCAGTGTCAGGAATTGAGCCGCCTCATTAATATTTAGGGCAGGGGATCTCTCCCTCACCAGTGGGGTGATTAGGAGGTAATCAGAACAGAACTGCAAAGAGAGAGCTCAAGAATCATCTCCAGCAAACCCTGAGAGAAGAATACCAGGAGCAAAGTCCATTGTGTAATTTTATGGGATGTACGGGTTTAGAGCAAGGTTTCTCAACCTTGGGACTATTAATATTTTGAGCCAGAGAATCTTTCATTGTGGGGGCTTGTCCTCTGCATTGCTGGATATCTAACAGTATCCCTGGCCTTTACCAATTAGATGCCTGTAACACACTCCCTCCCCCCTAGTGGTGACGATCAAAATTGTCTCCAGACATGGCCAGATGTCTTCTGGGGAGTGAAATCACTCCTTATTGAAAACCACTGGTCCAGAGTGACGTCGTCATGGTTCAGTATCCTCTAACTCAGGAATGAGGAAGGGTGTTCAGTGAGGGATGACGGATGATAAAGACTAAGAAGGTCATCCAGACGCATAAGTGATAGATAATGTAGGCTGTGAGAGCTGAGGAAGATTTTTGAAATTGAACTGAATTAAAGTATCTAAATCAAAAAGAAAAAGACTGAATCTGATATATTCAAAACGTGGACTACCATGTAGCAATTTCTTTAAAGTTGACTAAAGAAGTGGTCCTTATAGGGAAAATGTTTGTAAGAAAATCTGACTTTATGATGAGCTTGAGTCTATTTTCTTAGAAGAGATAGTGTAGTACATTTGGGAGAAGTTTTTATCAGTATTTTTTCACGATCATTAAAGGGAAAAGAAGGTGGAAGACGTTTCCCATGAATTTGTTGTGGAGACACAGAGCTTGTAGAAGTCTTATGTTTAGGGCTTCATTTAATTGGGATTTTTTTTTTTTGCTTATTTTATTCATTTCCACATATTTTGGGGTAAAAAGTTAATCTTACCTGCAGCCACAGGACTATTCAAGACATGTAGAACTCTCCTTCAGTGATACTAATTTTCTTACCGTCCCCGACACATAAGCTCTACCCCATTTGCTTGTTATGTGAACCCTTCTCTCCATTGCAGTCCTCAATCTCCTCCCTTTTCATTTAAAAAATATTTCATTTATTTTCACAGGTAATACATGAGTCTTATTTTTTCAGGGTTCAGTGACATTCAGGGATGTGGCCATAGACTTCTCACAGGAAGAATGGGAATTCCTGGACTCAGCTCAGAGGGACTTATATAGGGATGTGATGTGGGAGAATTATAGCAATTTCATCTCACTAGGTAAGGCTATTTATCCCAAACTCTGTTGGCTTTCTCTACTGTCAATTTTAGGAAAATGTTTTGAGAAACTAGATAAATTTTTTTCTCTCTGTTCCAAAGGAATGGTTTTAGCTTTGTAAGGTTGGAAATAGGCTCCTCCATTTAATACTTCATCACTTTCATCTGGCTCTGCCCTTCAGATTTTTCTTCAGGCTCTGTAATTTACTTGTTTCATTGGTATCCAAGGGCTGGGCTTGAATTCTGGGTTGCTTACAACAGAAGCATTGTGCAAGAAATCAGATTTTACATTATATTTGAGTCCAGAATTGATACAAATCCTTAACACTCCTTTCTAATCCACCTGCAAGGAGAGTACCTAAACACAGGGGTTTTGAGTCTCTCTAAAAATCAGAGGAGCCTATAGAACTTACAAAGTATGAGATGGATCCACAAAGTTCATTTAAAACTCAAGTAAACACATTCTGTTTCCTATAACAGACATATTCAGTTCTTCCTGCTCTGTGGTTGAAATTTAAAAACTAAGAACTTTGCATTTAACATTGAATAAATAATCCTAGAAAGGATCAGAAGTCTTGGGAAGACACTCTCCTGTCAGCAAATTGATAACAATAAAAATAGCCAATACACACACATAGGTGTGTGTGTGTATGTATGTTTGTGTATATATAACTTTATATATTTGTACTTAGATACTATCCTGAGCATTATGTGTTATTAATTCTCACAACTCTATCAGAAATATACTATGATTATCCTTATTTCAGATGAGAAAACTTAGGCATAGAAGGTTAATAATTGGCTGAGGTAACACAACAACAAAGGCAGGATTTAAACTCAGGCAGTCTGGATCCAGACTGTGTTCTCAACCACTACACAAGACTGCCTCTCAACAGAGCTAGTATGAGTTTAAATTATATTCAGGCCTGTTCTTAACCATCTGTTCCTTGTGCTCCTAAAGTTACCCTCATATGAGTGTTCTTCAACTCCCTTGCATTTCTTTGCTGTTAGGCTTTATAAAGTACCATTTTGATCTGTAGTTAATTATGAACTTAACCAAATTTGAACCTGACTTTTGGACTTATAATTTCATGTCACATTATCTTTTAAGGAGAACCTTCCATTTCTAAACCAGATGTGATTACCTTATTGGATGAAGGGAAAGAGCCCTGGATGGTTGTGAGGGAAGGGACCAGAAGACACTACTCTGGTGAGTGAGGGCTGAGCAGGATGGGGAATTAATTACTGCAGATAATTAGCCAAGCCTGTTAGCCTTGAGATGTTGTTGGAAATCTCTCTTCAGAATTTTGGACACCAAAGGAACTTCATATTGACCTTGATTACAACTGTTTTTCTCCTTTCTCATATTTTTCTCCTACTTCAAAGAGAGGAGCTGTTCTCAGTAGAAGAAAAAAAGATGACAAATAAACATAAGAACTGAAATCAACAAGAAAGAAAAAGAGAAAATTAATAAAGCCAAAATTTGATTCCTTGAAAAGATCAACAAAGTGGTAAACACTAGCTTGACTCATCGAGGAAAAAAAAAAAAGACAACAATTGCAAATACTAGGAATGAAAGAGTAACTGGGTTATCACTTAACACCCTGTAGGCATGAAAAGAATAGTGAGAGAATACCATAAGTAATTTTATGCCAGTAAATTGGACATCTTAAATGAAATGGAAAAACTCCTTGGAAAACACAATTACCAGAACTGATACAAGATAAAAAAAAAGATGAGTAACCTTATATCTATCAAAATAATTGAATTCATTATCAGAAATCTTTCCACAAAGAAAACACCAGGTTCAGATAGCTTCACTGGTGAATTCTATTAAATATTTAAGGAAGAACTAGCAGCAGTATTACACAATTTCCTTCAGAAAAGGAAAGAACAGCTCCCAAATCATTTTCTGAAAATAGTGTAACTCGTATACTGTGTCCTGACGAATTACTACGGGGGAAAAAAATGACAGGCTCATTATCCTTCATGAACATAGATGTAAAATCCTTGAGAAAATATTAGTAAATTAAATCCAGCAATAAAAATGATGATCAAGTAGGGTTTATCCCAGGAATGCAAGCTTGGCTTAACCTTCAAAAATTAATTAGTGTGAAAAAAATTAATCCATGTCATTCACCATATTAACAGGAATGAGAGAAACCATGTGATTGTGTCCACAGATGTAGAAATAGCATATGACAAAATTCAGCATCCATTCATGATAAAAATTTTCAGGAAACCAGAAATTGAAGAGAACTTCCTCAAAAAATACTACTTAAAGAAAAACACTACATCATAAACTTCATCATACTTGGTTGAAGAATTTCCCCCCTAAGATTGGGAACGAGGCAAAAGTGCCCACTCTTCCCATACCTATTTAACATGTATTGAAGGTCCTAGCATTGCAATACGGCAAGGAAAATAAGAGACATAAAATCGAAAAGGAAGAAGTTAAACTCTGTTTGAAGATGGCATGATTGTGTAGATAGAAAATCCTAAGGAATCAAAACAGCAACTACTCAAAGTAATAAATGAAGATCACAGTAAGATCACAGGATACAAAGTTAATATATAAAAATTAGTTGTGTTTTTATATACTAGAAGTGAAAAAAATAAGGAATTTAAAGTAAATTAAGTCAATTAAGAAAATTAAAAGCAAATTAAGTTAATTTACATTAGTGTCAAAAACCAAAAATACTAAGGAATAAATTTAACAAAACATGCAAGACCTCCACACAAAAAAATCATAGAACATTGCTAAGAGAAATTAAAGACCTAAATAAGTGGAAAGAGACTGTTTTGGGGATGGGAAGACTCACTATTGTTAAAATGTCAATTTTATAGTTTTAACAAGCTGATTCCAAAACTGATATGGAAAAACAATGGTCTTAGCATTTCTAAGATAATCTTGGAAAAGGAATAATATATTATAGGACTTAGACTACATGACTTCAAGATACTTCAAGATTCATTATAACTACAGTCATCAGGGGCGCCTGGGTGGCTCAGTTGGTTAAGCATCTGCTTTTGGCTCGGGTCATGATCCCAGGATCCTGGGATCGAGCCCCACATCAGGCTCCCCCTGCTCTGTGGGGAGTCTGCTTCTCTCCCTCTGCCTGCAGCTCCCCTGCTTGTGCTCTCTCTCTCTGTCAAATAAATAAATAAAATCTGTTAAAGGACTACAGTAATAGTGGGCGCCTGTGTGGCTCAGTATGTTGAGTGTCCAACTCTTAGCTTCAGCTCAGGTTGTGAGGGCTAGCCCTGCATCAGGCTCCATACTCAGTGAGGAGTCTGCTTGAGATTCTCTCCCTTTGTCCCCCTCTGACATTATCTATCTCTCTCAAATTAATAAATCTTAAATAAAACTACAGTGATCAAGACATTGCATATTGGATAAGGATCAACAGACAGAACAGAACAAAGACCTTAGAGGTAGAACTCACACTTAAAAGATCATTTATTTTTTGACAAAGGCACCAAAACATTCCAATGGGAAAGGGAAAGTTTTTTCAACAAATGGTGCTGGGTAACTGGGAAAAAAATCCTGACCCCCTACCTCCCCAAATTAAGATGTATTTTAGACCTAAATATAAAAACTAAACATAAAAAATATAAAAAGCCAAATATAAAAGCTAAACTTGAAAAATAAAAAAATTTAAAATTCAATATAAATTTTATATAAAAAACATGAAAGCTAGGGATGCCTGACTGGTTCAGTCAGAGGAGCATGCACCTCTTGATCTTGGGGTTGTGGGGTGTAGAGATTACTAAAAATAATAAGAAAATAAACTTTAAAATAAATGAAAGCTAAATATAAAGCTTTTAGAAGAAAACTAGGAGAATTTCTTGGTTTGAATATTATACTATGGTTATGTAAGATGTTAACACTGAGAGAGGCTGGGTGAAGGTTGCATCAGACTTTCCTGTATATTTCTCGGCAACCACATAGGAATCTACAGTTTTTTCAAAATAAAAAGGAAACAAAAATGTCCCATTAGGGATGATGGGTAAAAAATTTGAACAAAGAGAGGGGCTACTCTTTTTTATGATCAATGACTATAATTCATTTATATATAAATCTGTGTTAGTCAGCTTGAGCTGCCAAAACAAAATACCATAGATTGGGTGACTTAAACAACAGAAATTTGTTTACCATCGTTCTGGAGGTTGAAAGTCTGAGATTAGCATTTGGGGGCTCTGATAAGGGCTCTCTTCCTTTCTGGCAGATCTTCCCTTCTCACATTTTCCTCACATGGCAGAGAGAGAGAAGGAGGAGAGAGAGAGAGAGAGACCTCTTATAAGGCCCCCAATCCTGTTGGATTAGGAGCTTTATGACTTCATTTAACCTTAATTGTCATCTAAAAACACTTTCCAAATATAGTCAGGGTGGGTGGTCAGGGCTTCAATGTATAACTTGGGGCAGGACACAATTCAGTCCATAGCAATATCTATCTATATAGGATCCAGTTTCTTTCTGGCTTCTGTTTTGATTAGTTTATATGTCTTTTGTTGCCTACGAATATATTCGTTTATTGAGTACCTAGTCAGAACCATGCACTGTGCCAGCCACAGGTGGAACAGTTGTGAACAATAGTGGTAGGTTCCAGCAGTCATGTTTACATTTTTTTTTTAAAGATTTTATTTATTTATTTGACAGAGAGAGACACAGCGAGAGAGGGAACACAAGCAGGGGGAGTGGGAGAGGGAGAAGCAGGCTTCCCATGGAGCAGGGAGCCCGATGCGGGGCTCGATCCCAGGACCCCGGGATCACGACCTGAGCCGAAGGCAGACGCTTAACGACTGAGCCACCCAGGCGCCCGGCATGTGACTTTTAAATGTGAAAAAAGCCATTGGAAACTTTTGAGCAGGGGAATTACATGAGCTGATTTGTCTTATAATTATCACTCTATGGAGAACAGATTGAATAGGGGCAAGATGGGAAGAAGGAAGACCAGTTAGGTTATTTTTCTTTTGTCCCGGCTGAAGATGATAGTAGTTTTGATTGGAATGGTAGTGACGGGAGGTAGAGTTAGATTCATGGTAGATGTGCCCAGTACCTGTTGGTCTGCTCCTCTGTCTGGATACTTTCCTCACCTTACTTGGATTTCAACAACCTGCCTGAGGCTGCCCCGATCGGTGGATGCCCTCTTTACCCGGATTGGACTCCTCACACAGCGTCCTTCCCCCAATATGGATAAGAAGCATCTTTGTCCTTTAATTGATGTTCTTTTATCCATCTACATTTAAGTAATTTTCTTATGTATTCAGGTGCAGATCTACTATCTTCCTAATTTTTTCCGTTTGTTCAACTTATTCTTTCTTCCTTTTCTTCCTCTCCTGCCTTTTCTGGATTAATAAAATATTTTGATTTTAGCTTTTGCCTCTTGAGTGTATTAGTTACATATACTTTTAGTTTTCTTCTCAGAGTTGCCCTAGAGATTAAAACATGGATTCTTTACTTACTACATTGTACCTTAAATTAATTCCTTTATATCTTTCCCAATATTGTGAAGATATTAGTAACATTCTATTTAGTTAGTTTTATTTATTTATTTGAGAGAGAGAGAGCACAAGCAAGGGGAGCAGCAGAGGGAGAGGGAGAAGCAGGCTGCCCGCTGAGCCGGGAGCCTGACGCGGGGCTCGATCCCAGGACCCCGGGATCATGACCTGAGCCGAAGGCAGACGCCTAATGCCCGAGCCACCTAGGCACCCCAGTTTTGAAAAATTCTTGGTTGTTATATTTTCAAGTATTGTTTCCCATTTTTGCTCTTCTCTCTTTCTGGGACTCCAGATATACACATATGTGAAACCTTTTTAAACTGTTGCATATATCTTTTATGTTCTTTTCTGTTTTTTCCTTTTTTCTTATTTTTTATTCCTGTGCTGCTTCTATAAACCCATTTTCTAGTTCACTGATCTTCTTTTCTGCTAAGTCTAATTTGTTAAAGATTTCTGTTAAATTCTTAATTTTAGCTATTGTATTTTTCAGTTATGAGATTTCTATTTGGAGATATATATATGCACATATATACATATTTTTTATACATACATATAAATATATGCTTTTTAAAAAGATTTTATATATACATACATAATTTGTTTTGCTTTTTTTGAGAGATTGGAGGGGTGAAGCAGAGGGAGAGAGAGAATCTTAAGCAAGCAGTACACCCAGTGTGGAGTCCGACACAGGGCTCGATCTCACAACCCTGAGCTTCATGACCTGAGCTGAAATCTAGAGGCAGATGCTTACCCGAATGAGCCACCCAGGACCCCTCTTTTTTTTTTTTTTTTTTTTTAAGATTTTACTTATTTATTTGGCAGAGAGAGACACAGCAAGAGAGGGAACACAAGCAGGGGGAGTGGGAGAGGGAGAAGCAGGCTTCCCGCTGAGCAGGGAGCCGGATACGGGGCTCCATCCCCGGACCCTGGGATCATGACCTGAGCCGAAGGCAGACGCTTAACTGAGCCACCCAGGCGCCCCAGGGCCCCTCTCTTAATAGACTTCATTTTTAGAGCAGTTTTAGGTTGACAGCAAAATTGAGCAGATGGTGGAGATTTTCCACATATTCCCTAAGAGCTCATTATTTTTGCAAATTAGTGGGAATTGACATCTTTTTTTGTGTTTACATTTTTAAAATACTTTATAAGTCTAGTTAATTAATAAAATATAATTTATGTACATTAAAATTCACTCTTTTTAGTACCTAGTTTTAGGAATTTTGAAAAATGATACAGTTATGTAACCACCATAATCAAGAGTTTAGAATAGTTTCAGAGTCTCTTCATGTTTCGTAGTGATGAGACTTTTGAGTCATTTCAGCAGTTTTATACATTTGTACTGTAGTCATAGAAAAAAAACCTTTCTTATCTCTCCTACCCACTTGTCCCCATATCTTTGCTTATTTCATTCAACTTTTAGATTTTCTCATGCAAGTCCCCCATTATCTTTGGATCATTAGTTTTGAGCCTGTATCCAACATAGCCTTTATTTTTACTCTTTTGCACTCAGGTGATCCCAAGTACCATTCCATGTTTGACAGTCATTCTGCTATACTCAATATCTGCCCATGCCTTTTTGCTCAGGATTTCATAAGCCTTTCAGTGTTAGGATTATTGAAAGATACTTGAGGTAGTTTTCTGGAAGTACAACCCTTGCTTTAGCTATATAGAATGGGAAGGAGCACCTAGAGGAGGTATGAAGGAACAAAAATTTGAGTAAATGTAGCACTGAGAAGTAATAGTATAAACTCTAGTGGAGAAAAGTAAAACATTGTAGTACTTTTTTTTTTCTTTAGGTAAACACTACTCCCAACATGGGGCTCAAACTCACAACTCCCAAGATCAAGAGTCGCATGCTCCACTGACTGAGCCAGCCAGGCACCCCTATTGTAGTACATTTTAAAAGTTTAGAAACAGATGTACATATTCATTAGTGATTATGTAATTATAGGAATAAATGAGTAATATCCATTGTGTATTTGGGGTTTGTTATTTAATGGTAAATGGACTTTAGAGATTGTTTCTGCCACTAGGGAAGCTTAGGGGTAAGAAACTAACAGAATAACAAATGAGAAAATTAATAAATATTCCAAAATTGGGACAAAGAAGAGCAACCTGTTGCTGGGATAGAATATAGAGTGCATAGTTTTAAGCAGGATCAGCAGGAATGGCTTTTTGGAAGAAGTGATTTTTGACTGAGACCTGATGATGAAGGAAAGCCAACCATGCAGGCAGAGAATTTCTCAAAGAAGAAACAACCTGTGAAAGGTCCTATTTAATGGGAACAGTGGTAGTGCCTTTTGTGAGCTGAAAAGAGGCCTTTGTGGCATGAACAGAGAGAGTAAATGAGAGGCGTTGATAAGCAGATAAGCAGCTTATTATCTATGTTCAGGTATTTATATTTGATTCTAAATATAAAGAGAAAGCATTAAAAACATTTAAGTAGAGAGACTCAAATATTGATCAGCATCAGAATCATTTGCTGGAGAATTTAAATAAGTACAAAACAAAAACATGCCCAGGACTTAATCCTGTAGTTTATGTTGCAGTCTGTTAAAAATGCCTCTGTATAGTTTTAAGAAATCTTCAGGTGATTCTTATCACTGATGTAACTTTTTTCCCTAATCACCAATCTTATCTCCAGTCCTGGACTCCATTCTCTGTGTTTCCTTTGCCTTTTTTTCTCTTTTTTTAATGTATGAGAATACAGTGTGTTCCATAATACAATTAATAACCCTCAATACAAATTAGCTTAATAGTGATATGGAATAGGGAATGATAGCAGTATAATGTGAGAGTTAGTTGGTTCACAGGTCATTTTCCTACTTGAATGAAGCCAGAATAGAAGTAGACTTATAACATTCAGCAGGAAAGGCAAAGCGTTCAATGTGATATTTTATTGTTGGTGGCCCTTTCACCTCTATATGAAAAAAAATCAATAATAAGTGTCTGGATCCAGGACTTTCTCCCCAGAGATAGATGCCATCAACCTTGCATGGCTTCTAGCTGGAGATAGGTTACATTTTACTCTATTCCCACCTTAATGGTAGCCTTGCTGGCTCAAGGTTTTTTGTTTTTTGTTTTGTTTTGTTTAAGATTTTATTCATTTATTTGCGAGAGAGCACAAGCAGGGGCAGCTACAGAGGGAGAGGGAGAAGCAGACTCCTCACCGGGCAGGTCGCCCAACACGGGACTCGATCCCAGGACCCCGGGTTCACGACCTGAGCTGAAGGCAGAGGCTCAACTGACTGAGCCACCCAGGCGCCCCTCAGGGCTTCTTGTTCATTGCAATGTCTCAGCACCTGAAATCTAGCTTTTCCACTTTTTTGTGTGTGCATTTCAGTATCCATGAAGTGGCCTTCAGCTGTGTTGAACTGCCTTTTGAGTTTTATCTCATTAAGCATTATTTTAGGTGCCTTTTATTTCTCTATAGAAGTCTTTCTTCTGTCACAGGAAAATAGTGTGTGTTTGCCTTCTGTTTTCTTTCAGATTTGGAGTCCAGATATAGGACCAATACTTTATCTCCAGAAAAGGACATTTATGAAATATATTCATTCCAGTGGGAGATAATGGAAAGAATTAAAAGCTATAGTCTTCAGGACTCCATTTTTAGAAATGATTGGGAATGCAAAGGCAAGATTGAGGGGCAAAAGGAACCACAAGAGGGTTATTTTGGGCAAGTGAAAATTACTTCTGAAAAAATGACCACTTACAAAAAGCATAATTTTCTCGCTGAATATCAGAGAGTTCATAATGGAGAAAAGTTGTATGAATGTAAGGAATGTAGAAAGACCTTTATTCGTCGCTCAACACTTAGTCAACATCTGAGAATTCATACTGGTGAGAAACCTTATAAATGTAAGGAATGTGGGCAGGCATTTAGACAGCGTGCGCACCTTATTCGACATCACAAACTTCATACCGGTGAGAAGCCCTATGAATGTAAGGAATGTGGGAAGGCCTTTACAGTGCTCCAAGAACTTACTCAACATCAGAGACTCCATACTGGTGAAAAGCCCTATGAATGTAAGGAGTGTGGAAAGGCCTTCAGAGTGCATCAGCAACTTGCTCGACATCAGAGAATTCACACTGGTGAGAAACCCTATGAATGTAAGGCATGTGGGAAGACCTTTAGGCAGTGTACACACCTTACTCGACATCAGAGACTTCATACTGCTGAGAAGCTCTATGAATGTAAGGAATGTGGGAAAGCCTTTGTATGTGGTCCAGACCTTAGAGTACATCAGAAAATTCATTTTGGTGAGAAACCTTATGAATGTAAGGAATGTGGAAAGGCTTTTAGAATATGCCAACAACTTACTGTCCATCAGAGTATTCATACTGGTGAGAAACCCTATGAATGTAAGGAATGTGGGAAGACCTTTAGACTAAGGCAGCAACTTGTTCGCCATCAGAGAATCCATACTCGTGAGAAACCCTATGAATGTATGGAATGCTGGAAGACCTTTAGTAGTTACTCACAACTTATTTCACATCAGAGCATTCATATTGGTGAAAGACCTTATGAATGTGAAGAATGTGGGAAGGCCTTTAGATTGCTCTCACAACTTACCCAACATCAGAGTATTCATACTGGTGAGAAACCTTATGAATGTAAGGAATGCAGAAAACCTTTTAGACTGCTGTCACAACTTACTCAGCATCAGAGTATTCATACTGGTGAGAAACCTTATGAATGTAAGGAATGTGGTAAGGCTTTCAGACTTTATTCATTCCTTACTCAGCACCAGAGAATTCATACTGGAGAGAAACCCTACAAATGTAAGGAATGTAAGAAGGCCTTTAGACAACATTCACACCTTACTCAACATCAGAAAATTCATAATGGGGTTTAGTATGAGAAAGCCTTCAATTGTACATTATGTTACAGAATATCTGAAAATTCATTTTTGAGAAATTTGCTTCATGCTTCAACTAAGCATAAGAAATTTTATATTATTGAAAAAAATATGTTGCTTTAAAAGCCTTCTATCACCATTCAGACATTGTTTATCTTCAGCAAATTTGTATGAGGGAATAATATAATGAATGTAGGGAAATCTTTAGCCTTATCTATCATTATCCCCATTTCACTCCTTTATTACAGTGTGTTATTGGACAAGGTACTTAAACTTCTGTGCCTCATTTTGCTCACTTGTAAAATGGTGATAATAGTACCTATGTATATTAGTTATTTATTGCTGTGTAATAAATTACCACAAACTTAGTAGCTTAAAATAATATACATTATCTCACAATTTCTATGGGTCAGGTGTCTGGGCATAACTTTGTGGGTCTTCTGCTTCAGGGTCTCTCACAGAGCTAAGCTAAAGGTTTCAGCCAGGGTTGGGTCTCATCTGAAGGCTCAACAGGGAAAGGGATCCATATCCAACCTCACATGGTTGTTGGCTCTTGCACTGAGGTCCACAGTTTCTAGCTGGCTGACGGCTGACCTTAGTTCCTTGCCACATGCGTTTCTTCAACATGACTGCTTATTAAGTGTGCAAGCCAAGAATGCAGTAGAGTCTACTAGCATCATAGAAGCTATAATCTTGTATGATCTAATCACCAGAGTAACACCTTTTCGTCACTTTTGCTGTGATAGTGGTTAGAAGCAGGTTACTGGGTCACTGCACACTCAAGGGTAGAGGATTACACAAGAGTATGAATACCAGGCTGTAGGGACCATTTCAGAGTCAGCCTGCCACACTGTGTAATAGGATTGTCTTAAGGATTAAGTAGTTAATGCTTGGAAAAATAGCAGCCACATAGCATGTTTTCTGTAAATAATATCTACAATTGTTATCATTAGTGTTAGTGAATTCATATGAAAGGAATTTACTCTAGAAGTAGTAAATGTAGAAATGCCTCATGTCAGTACTTACTAAACTTAAGATAATTTATTCCAGATAAAATCTAAGAGGTTATATTGAATGTGGGAAGTTCATCATTTAAGCTGCATCAATCATTTCATGCTGAAAAGAAACCTTACGAATGTCACGAATGTGAGGTTAAGAGTACAACTGTTGAAGAATCAGAAAAATACGAAATTATTTTCCCATAATAAATTCCAAAAAGTAAATGTTTTGCAATCCCTATTGCCTGGCCACTGTTAAAGCTTAATTAGAAACATCAAAAAGATGGCAGAAAGGAAACCAGTTGGAAATTTAATAATGTGCATGTGTGTATGTGTGTGTGTGTGTGTATACATGTATGTAAAACTCATATAAAAGAAAGATCATCATTCCATTACAGGCAGTGTATGGTTTGATGTTCAAATTGCCCCATCTTCAACCAGTGGGAGTTGGGTCTTTTGACATGACCCCACTAGTAGTTTGATAGTTTACTTGGTTACGGCTGCAGTCTGGTCAGCAATGGAAGATGCTTGGGCACCAACTCATCCTGAAAATTGGTAAGGGGAAAAATAAGCATTTATTTTGCTTTTTCCGTGTGAACCAAGTTTCAGGGCCACCAAAAGCTCCTCAGATTAAAAGGTTTTTGTTTTGTTTTTAAGAAATCAGTAAATACGGAAAGAATGGTAGGATTAGAAAAATCATTTTCCAGTTCCCTAATGGGATAATGGGTCCAGAAAATGATCTTCAGTGGATATTAAAACTATTGGGTGAAATATTTTATAGTGAGAACTTTACAGTGGATTTATCAAGCTGACCACCTCTGAGCCCTTTGATCAATTTTAACCTCTTTAAAAGTGGGACTATCAGACAATATCCACATCCTGATAAAATGCAATACAAAATACACACCACTGCCTACAAAGCCTTATTGCCAAAACAGTGAACTGAAGGAAGCAAACCTTTGAATCAAACTCTTTAAAAATGAGAATTTGGGGAATAGATGAACAAAGTAAATGGCACCACAAGGAAGTAGCCAAGCAGATACAGAATGCATAAAATTCTAAGAAACAAATGACCCTGATTTCTTCAACTAATGAGTGGCATGAAAAAGAAAAGGGGAAGGGCAACAATTAACAGATTAAAAGAGACTTAAGAGACCTATCAGCTAAATTCAGTACATGGGCATTGCTTGGACCTAGTTTGAACAAAATGTAAAAAGACATTTTGGAGACAGTGGGGAAAATGTGGACATGCACTGAGTATTACCTGATATTTAGAAATATGTTGTTAGGGATGATAATATCAATGTGGTTATTAAAAGATAAAAGGTTCTATGTGTTAGAGATACATACTTATATACTTAAGAAATGGTAAGATACCAAATTTGCATTATATACTCTAGCAAAGGAAAAAGAATTGGCAAAGAGAGCTGGGAAGTAGGTTGGCAAAATGTTGATAATTACTGACATGGAGTGGTTTGCTTTGGGGAGTTCATTGTTCTAATATTTCTACTTTTTTATGTGTTTGAAAGTTTCAGTAATAAAATGTTTAATATCAAAACTGAAATTTATAGACTACTTAGAAATGATTGTTGAGATGTGTGCATCTAAACATGTCAGATGTCACCAAAGTTCTGTTCAGTGAAAAATTGATCCCCTTTAATGCATTATAAGGAAGTTTTATTTGTGGACCCAGTCTTCATCATCTTCACCTTATCCATAGCAGTCAACACAGGGCCTGTCACCTAAATAAATGTGTCAAGGGAATGAATACTTACGTCAAGAAACCAGAAACAGAACAGAATAAAACCTACAAAAGAGAAGCAAAGCGCATAACTAAAAATAGAAATTAAGGACTAGACAGTAGATTTAATCCAGTACTAATGATAAGATTTTGGAAGATCCAATCAAGAAAAAGAAAATGAAAGATAATGCCTTTAGAATATTGACGTGATAAAGGTGACATAGCTACAGATTATCCAGAAAATTTTGTTTTAATTACAACACAATACTATATATATGTGCTATATGTATTCTAATACCTAAAATATAGGTACTTTTTTTTTCTGCAGGAAGGTTATGAAAATTGACTCAAATAGACCAAGAAGCAAATGTGTATGTATATATGAACTCCCTGCGTAAGAAAGAAAAAGTCTGATAGTTGTGCAGGTAAAAGCTTTAAGAAATAGATAATCCTTCACAAAATTCTACCAATTAATTCTGCATAGCCGAAATAATCCTGATACAAACCTGAATGAAGATGGCTCCTAAAAAGCAAAATCTAGACCAACTTCATTTATGAAGATTCTATTCGTCTTAATTTCTATTTAGAATTAATTACAAAATCAGTCTTCACTAATAGATCCATGTATTTGCCTTTCCCAAGTTTCAGATATCTCCAGGAGAGCCAGAGTGTAAGACCTTAACCCAGCGTTCTCCACAAACTTGTTTTGGGATATTCTAGTCCTTGATGATATTTGGGAAAAGATTTCTTGGGAAAATGTGTAAATGCAGCAGAGCATTTGCTTGTGGGGAAATCCAAGTACACATCATCATCAGCTTGTCAAAAGATACAGTAAAGAGATTTTTATTTTACACAGTGTATCTCAAACTTACTTCATTGTGGAACTCTCATTCCCAGTATCTCGTACCATCTTTAGAATGTGAACCACTTTGATAGATGCTTCCATTACCACAATGAATGTCTTTAAGACCATCATTTGAGACACTACGGTGAGTGAGTGTGTTGGCAGGGGGTGAGGAAAGGGCACTTTTCTTTGTAACTCACGTCATATTCTGAAAGCTGCCTGCTTGAATCTTGAGGGCTAGTGCTTTTCTATAGAATGTAAAAGATTCTAGCTTGGTCCTTGATATGTATATATTAAACATGCTTAAATATTCTGTTAAGTAGTGATTAGGACATAAACGATTTTTCATTGTAATAAAAATGCTATATTAAATATCATTTTGTGTATTTTCTGATTTCTTTGAAGAGTGAAGAATCTAAGGTGCATATCTAGAGGTGAAATTGTTCTCTGTAGGTTGTACAGACTCTCCACTTTACATGTTGCCAGATGGTTGCTCCATCACTGCACTAATTTTGCATTTCTCTAATCACTGAAACAAGCATCTGGATTTTCCTACTTTTGTTATTGGTTTCAGTATTTCCCTGATTACAAGTGACTTGAGCATCTTTTTCATATGTGTTTATTGGTCAGTCATGTTTCTCTTAACAGTGCTTTTTTTTATTCATGCATTTTCTCTATTTCTTTGGGGTTATCTCATTGATTTTTCATGATATGTAAAATATTCCAGATACTACACATTCATAAATATTGGAGTATTTTTTCTCAAGGTGACTTGTGTTATGACTGTGTTATGGCATTTACTGTTTTGCTCACATTTTAAATTTAGATATAGTTTCCTTCTCAACCTTACCAGATAATCTTACTCTTTTTATTTCTAGTCTTATATTTTTCTGCCATGTGTTCATGGCATTTGCAAGTAGAAAAGATTTCTCTCAATATTTATTTATATTTCTCATAGCAGTAGCTGGTATTTTCAGAATAATGTTGAGTATTAGTGGGGATACATTTCTCTCATATTTTTTCCAATTCAATGGAAATCATGTATCTGTTTAAACATTTTGTGTAATGCCTTTTGATTTAGAGTAGTCTTTGTTATACATAACTATTTTCATTCAGTCCCTATTTTACTTGATGCCTGCTAGATTTTGTCAGAAGCCATCTTGTCATCCATTGGTGTGAACATGTTTTTCTCCTTTAATTTGCTGATGTGATGAATTATACAAATCTCTTGACAATTTCAGGGGTTCCTATGACCACTCTTAGGTTCAGGAATTCAGTAGAACAACTCGCAGAACTCAGGAAAATACTGCACCTATGATTAGTTTTATTATGGTGAAAAGATACAAATTAGAATGAGCTAAAGGAAGAGATGCAGAGGGCAAGCCATGGCAGGGATCCAAATGTGGAGCTTCCAGTCATCCTTTCCCTGTGGAGTCAGGGATGGCATTACCTCTTCCTGGTTATGACATGGGATAATTCCCACAGGAAAGCTTGCCTGAGCCTTTGGTTGCCAGAGTTGTTCCTGGGGCTCAATTACATTCTTCCCATGAGGCTGATCTTTAGTCTCCAGCTCCTTCTGAAGGTTCAAACTCTTACCTTTAGTCTCCAGTTCCTCCAGAGGTCACAACTGATACAGTGCCTGAAGCCCCCATCATAACCCACAGCTTAGACTGTCTGGTGGCCAAAGCTCCCAAGCAAACAAAGATACTCCTATCAGGCAGGACATTCCAGGGTCCCAGAGATCATCTACAAGTCTAAAAATATGCCTTTGCTTGTAAGTAAAGTGCTATATGTTCATGCTCAAATGCTTTTGTTGAGAGGGTATTTGATGTCATCACCTTGGGCTGACACCAAGAATCTGTGTAATGTGGGCTTGATAAGAACAGAGCCACAAGTCAAAGGGAATTTTGTTTTGCCTATATTCCTTT